CATTACAAACTTTGTTGAGATTCACATGCACACACACCTACCTTCCACATTTGAGTATTTCTCTCAACATTTTACAAGACGCTCTGCCAAATTTCCACGCTTTTTTTATGCATCGTCGAAGGCTGCTTAATACATAGAATGATTGCAAGATCTCTTAGCTTTGGAAGATTGCAATGCTGAAGAGGTCACTCCTATCACGAGCTACTTTATTACCCCCTGTGCATTGCTACATCCTATAGCACTCCCTTCCCTAACTGTAGGGCTATGGGTCCTACAGTTCCAAATATTCCAATTCCAAATATTCCATAGAATAGCTAAAACTACTTTGTATTGCTCTAAACTGCAAAGAAAAAAAAAACCTCTGTGGGATGTCTGCATTATGGAGCAATTCGCACTCAAAACCAATCTCAAAAGCACCAGTGCAAAAGCAGAGGTTAAATCTCTCTGCTCTCTGTCCCTAATTCCCAGAATACCTACTCTGTGTTCACATTAGAGATTTTAAAGTTGGAAGACCACCAAGTTAAATACAGGAGAGGCAAGCAGGCGAACCTGAGCTGATGATCGGAACTACTTCAATGTTTCTGCTGTGAACTTTGAGGCTGAATTACCCAACAGAATCTGCAGCTACAAAAGTCAGTGATGGCTTATTTTAAAGTTCATTGAGGGCTAAAAGTTCTTTAGAAGCTAATCAATACATGGAATGACCGCAAGATCTTAGTTTAGGAAGATTGTAGTGTTGAAGATGTTTCTCTCATCAAGAGTGACTTTAATCCTTTTGCTGCCAAGGCCTTTTTTTTTTAGTGATATAATCCATATTTTAGGCCTGAAAATTACTTCAAACCCCCAAAACATTATATATTTGTATGATATTGGCACAACTCTTTATCAAACCCCAAAATTTAGTGAAAATGCAATTCAGTTAATTTTAGTGCCCCAACACACAGTAAAATACCCATTGTTTTTTAAATATAAAAGATGAGGTTACGACGAGTAAATAGATACCCAACATGCCCAGGTTAAAAGTTGCGTGCGTCCGTGAAATAGGGCAGAATTCAGTACCCCAAAAAGTCCACAGACGACGCTTTAAAAACCCCTACAGGTCATCTCTACATTTTCGTACATAGACGCACCCGACGCGTGTCTGCATGAATGCGTGCAGGGGGACGTTAAACATTTTTTATATTATTTTTACATTTATTTTATTCTGTTATTTCAAACTTTTTTTTTTTAACTGCTTTCACATAGGGGGGGTCTTACAATCCCCTATGCGATAGCATATTGGCAGTGACAGGTCCTCTAAGGTGCTACTGGGGGTCCAAAAGACCCCTAGTATAACCTTTCCACTTTAAATAAGCTATTGAAGTGCAGATTGCATTTCAATAGCTTATCGGTCGGCTTCAGCCGTATAATAGCCAAGCAATGACAGCTCAGAGACCGGAAGTGATGTAATCCTCGTCGCTCCCGGTCCCATAGAGCGGGAAGGAGATTGGGGAGGAGAGCAGCGATCTTCCATTCAACGGCTTCCCACCGGCACCCAACATGCTGGTTCTGCAGGGGGGCAGTGGAGCTCAGGAAACACAGTGGGGATGTTGGGCGGCCGGGGGAGCAGGCACTTTACTAGACCATAGAATCGATCTGGCGGCAGCTGAGCCGCCAGAATCGCTTCTATTGTAAAGCTGGCAGTCGGCTTTACAAAAGGTAAACAGAGTCCCGGTGGAGTCAATTTACATGCCAATGGTGTACTATGTATGTCAGTGGACGCGAAGGGGCTAGTACACCCAAGCACTTCCTGAAGCATTCTCTCGTTTAGGATCTGGGCCCTACACTTCCAAACAAACAAAGAATAGTTAACTACCTTGTATTGCTCTAAACTGCAAAGATGATTGGGGCTTAAAAACATCCATATTTTATACAGCACAAACAGCCCACTAATCTTCGAAAGCTCTCTTGTGGGTTAACCATTAATCCTATTTACGTGCCCCATTATGTATTGACAAAGACAATCATTGCTAATAGCAATAAAACTGAAACTCAATTTTCGGTTATAGCCAAAACATTTTGTTACACCCTTAATCCACAACAAAATCGATATTGGTGCTATGACATCATTTAAGAAACATACCACGCTGCCATAAACCTCTGGCTTAATCTTATTACAAATTCCTATGCTCCTCTCACACATCTTCTCCACCAATATCGAAAAGTAGAAGATGGAACTGGGACACTTATAATCTTAGAGGAGTGGAACCAAATTTCGACAACCACCTCCAAATGCTCCACAAACATGGCAGCACTTGAAACAAATAATTAACTTCTTATGACATGGTACTCTGTCATGATCAAGATCAGGAAATAAACCTAGGTACCCATCAACCTACATCCATGGCTGCCCATCACCTGGAATGTTCACCCACATATAGTGGGATTGTCCCAAATGGTTCCAAATATATCAAGTCATACTGTATATACCATTTCAGGGACATTACAATAAATTCCAAAACCCATATGAAATCCTTCTGAACAAAAAGCCAGCTAGGAGTTCCAGACATAATTTCCAATGATTAATATTCCATTTCATGAAATGAGTCATAACAGAAGTATGAAAAACTCCAGCTCTACCATTCTTAGGAAGGACTGCAAAAAGGAATTGTAAAAGTCTATAGTGTTCAAAAAAAATTTTCAGCAATACAAAATGATCCATTAGACAAATTCTACAGTTAAAAACACCCTGGGTGGAGCAAACGTCGATCCAGAGTCAAACGTTTCTTCCCCTCCCCCCCCACCTCGGTTTCTCTTTCTCCCACCCCCTTCCTCCTTTCCTTTTTCCCCACCCCCTTTCTTCACTATTTCTACCCAAGATCATCTTCTTCTTAAACACATTAACCCTTACAGCAAACACTAATTGCCAGGTTAAGGATTCCTCAGGTTTGTGTATAATTTTATATGCAAACGAATGGCTACATCAGTTACAGATTTATTTCACTTAGTTATTTTCAAAGACTTTAACGATGTTTATATAACAAATTGTTTGGTTACAACAGTTAAAACTAAGAATGAAAAAAATGTGTAGCTTTGTCTTTATTATTTCAATCGTTCTTTCATAATGAAAGACCACCTTGTCCAAAATTATGCAATTATTAACAAAACAATGAAAACTTATTTAACTAAAGCAAGCCCTCACTGACTTCTGGGGGAGGTCTGCCTTGTGGAGCAATTCACACTCAAAGCCCATCTGAAAAGCACTAAAGTCTTTAATGTCCCTACCTCCCAGAACACCTGCTCTGCGCTTACATTAAATATTTTAAGGTTAAAAAGCTGCCATGTCAATTCTGGGAGTGGTAAGCTGAGCTACTGAGCGGAATTAGTTCAATTCTTCTGCTGTGAACTTTGAGGCTGAAAAGCCCAACACTAACTCCAGCTGCAGAGGTCAGTGATGACTTGTTTTAAAGCTCGGACTGCTGGGTAAAGATATCTACATATGCACATGTCAGACAACCCAACTCTCCCGGACGCTCCGGGAGTCTCCTGCTATTATAGAACGGCTCCTGGCCGCCCGGGAGAGAAACATTTTCTCCCGGAGAGGTTTACTCTGCTCGGTCGAGCAGAGTAAACCTTTCCCTGCTCTGTTTTTTTTTTTTTACATCGGAGCCGCTGGCTGCTGTCAGAAAAAATTTAAAAACATAAAAACGGCATAGGAATGCATAGGTAGATTCCTATTGGCTATTTCACTTTGCAATAGCCAATAGCAAACCAGCTATTACACCCGCCCACTGCTGCTGTCAATCAGCAGAGGGGGACTTGAAGTTCTCCATCAGGTCCGCTTCTAGTGATTGACAGCAGCGGAGGGCGGGTGCAATAGCTAGCTTGCTATTGGATATTGCAAAGTGAAATAGCCAATAGGAATCTAGCTATGCATTCCTATGCCGTTTTGGTTTTGTTTTTAATCTGACGGCAGCAACTGTCAGAATGTTAAAAAAAAAAACTGCAGATAGCAAACAAGCTATTGCTTCCTGTGCTATCTGCCATCATTTCAGGGGGGTGCTCTACCCCCCCCCCCCCCCACACACACACACACACGCAGATGGGGGGCAGAGGGCACATCCCTGAAATGAGAAGGGCACCTCCCTGAAATTGCTTTTTTCAGGTTGGGATCCCTGGCATGTATAGCCTGGCCACAAATTCACTTAATTAAAGCAGTTTATACACACAAGTAAGAGCATATAAATCACTTCCCAATAACAGAGATTAAGTGGATTGCACCTTAGTGTGTTTGGTGGTTTGCTTAAGAGCCACTGCTTCCAACAGTTTAGTCATTGTTTTCTATTAGGTATAGTAGAGGCAGTAATATTATTAAGTCAAAGAAAATGTTATTATAAAAGTGAGATAAATGCAAAGTGCCACATCAACCTGTGAGCATTTCAGTTTGAGCATAAGGCTGTAGATCATAAGAGTGGAAAATATCTTCCAAAATATCAAAAGGTCATAAAAACATTATTTTATTTCAATGTTGGGAAGATGAAAGAGGACATGACAAGGGTAGAAAAATGTTACATGACACCACAGGTTAAGACGGATATCATTTTATGACAAGGAGGTATCACACCGTAAAAAATTATGTGTACTAACATTACATAGTTAGAGATAAAACAATATTATAAGATCATTGGGAAAATGTTTACTGGCAAAAAGAGAAATAATAAATTCACAGTTGAAACTCCCATCTATGACAAACCATGGTATGTAGATTTTACACTGTTCTTGCCTCTTGGCAAATCTTTATGCACTATTAGCATTTATTTATTACTAAGAACTCGAGTTATTTTTACAATGGCACCGATCAGATTCAAACCTTCAGGGCATGTCTAATGCTGATTGATTGATTTAAACTCCAGTTTTTAGTAACAACATGTTAATACATACTGTAAGACTTTTTTACTTTACTATATCCCTCAACAAGATTCCTGTGACATTTGAGATTCCTCCAAAATCCAGTTACTCACCATGTGACATGTCTGGCCCATGGTGTAGCGACAGGTATTGCATGTTTGGGTTGGTGAGGGCAGATCCAGGGAATGGGTGTGGCTCAGTGCACATCTGTAACTGCTGCTCCAAAGACTGGATGTGGGCTACATGGGTCAGAACCAGGCCCTTCTGTAAGATATAGTTATGTATCAGTATATTTAACATTATCTTTGCCTTACATTTCTTATCCTCTTCTTTTCTTTATTTCATATATCATCATGAAAAAAATATCTGTTACTACCTGTGCCAGCATTGGCCTCTTGTATACCTAGCAGGCTTGGTAAATTGAGATGCAATGAGTACAACATGCACTAAAAAGCATCATCGGGTCCTCCTCATCTCAAATTGCTGAATGATAGCAAACACAAATCTGTGGAAAAAGGTTAGAAAGCATACTTATCTTAGAGCCAGTTTCTGCACTGAATACAGAAACGTCACAATCCTTACGGTGAGATTCTGGGATTGCTGAGAATTTCATGAGATGTTCCTGCACTGTACTTATTTGAGAAAGGGATCCTCATTGTTCATATCCAGCCCTTAAAATTGGTAAATTTTGAGGGTTGGAGATATTTCTTCTAGCCCTGCTGCCACAGGCAGTATTCCACGAGTACCTTATGGCAAATACAACTTTGCTGCTAGACATCGGCAACTGTGCTGTGGATGGTATTTGTAATATCCATTAAGTAGAATCTGTCATGAGAGAATAATGGAGGCCGTCATTGCTGAACACTGAATGTTAGTTCCCTTGCTGATTCTTTGGTTTCAATTCTGTCTGAGGGACTAACTCAAAACAGGCATAAAGATATGAAATTCTGACACTTAGGAGACTTGTTTACAGCATGCTTGTTCCATGCCTGTAGCTTAAAAATACTTAAGTCAGACACCACCAGGCAACTAACATTTTCAAAAGGAGGTCAACAACGGCAGCCCGCATACCTCTCTCATAAAAGCCCCTTTTAATAAGTAAATACCAATACTACATCCTCATAGATTTGTGTGGGACAATAGCAAGAATAAAAATACTTCAATGTGACTTGTTAGAAGCATTGATTAAAACAAATAAATTGTGAAATCGAATCTAAGCTATCTAATCAGCCAGAATTCATTATAACTAAACTAGGTCAAGTATGGCTATTGGAAAAAGTCAATGAAGTGCTTCCGTCGTTTGGCTAGTTCACTACCTTTAGATCCTAAAACTTTTTACCAATGTGTCTGTACACACTTATTAATGGACCACTAAAACAAAAAAGTTACATTACATAGCTACTAATTATATTAACAACTCTCTATGTAAGAGTGCCCACACCAGTACAGGACATTAGTTATGAGGAGGCTGGTTCTTGCAGTGAGACGAATTGGCAGTGTCAGCAAAGTTATTTAGTTAACCTTTTTATAAACTATTATTTCTGCATGATACACCAGCGACAGAGCCCATAGGAGCTCTTACAAGCTCCTCCTCAGCTTTGATGTGTCAACAGACTGGATGAATCTTCAATCAATTTAATTGCATCAATTCAACCTGCATGAGAGCTGTGTAAAGCCAAACACCTTTGCTGTGCAAAAAGAACAAGGATATTGTTTGCCAATGACTATAAGCAAAGAACAGACATCCTGAAATGTGCACAAGACTGATCAATCTAAATTAGAGTTGTTTGGTCACAGTAACAGTAGACATGCCACAAACAGTAGTTTAGAGGAAGAACCCCAGAACAACTGTGAATCATGGTGATGAAAATGTTATGGTTTGGAGTTGTTTGCTGCTTCATGGACTGGGCAGTTTGCAGTTATTGAATCAGCTATACATTCTGCATCATATTAAAATGGGCTTGATGAGAATGTGAGTTGAACTGGAAATTGTCTTTCAACATGATAGTGATCCGAAGCACAACAGCAAATCCTCCGAGGAATGGTTCAGAAAGAAGAAAGAGAGTTTTGTACTGCCCTAGTCAGAGCCCCGATTTAACATGATATTAAAGTCAAAATTTGTCCCCACTGCTGCTTTAAGGACTTACCTTAAATGATGTCTCTTGGTCAGATCATCTTCTTTCCTGTAGTTTTCAGCTGTCCCTCCAGCGCTCGTGCTGCTCTCTGATCCAGCACTGACTCCTCTCTCTTCCTGTCCCAGGGAGTCTGTGCTGGTGCACTCTGCTGCATTGACTTACCCTGTCTCTCTTCTCTTCTTCCGGCCGAAGATCTCTACTGCGCATGCGCCCGCCCCATGATCCTTTGCGGCCGCCCGTGAATTTTCAGATCTTCGGACGGGAGCGCGCAGCGGAGACACAGGTAAATTTAAACCTGTTTTGTAACTTTTTTAATGTTTTTGAATATATCTAGTGCTTGCTAGGTGTATGCAAACACACGCAAGGGTTTAATGACCCTTTAATTTCCATAAAGTTTTTGTATGGTGATTTTGAAACAAGCAGTTCAGTGCAAGCAAACCCACCATTATCTTGCAACCAAAGCAATTTTGCATAAAGAAACTGTCAAAAATAGTTACATAGTCACAGAGTATTTGAGTTGAAAAAAAGACACAAGTCCATCAAGTTCAACCTTTTTGTGTGTGCGCGTGTCTCTTGTGCGTGCATGTGTGTATAAGAGTCCCAGTGCGTTCTAGTATTTAAGTGTACCTGTACCCCTGTATTTTACGGTCTCTTATGATGGAATCTAACTGCTTTTTGAATGAATCAATATTCTTTGCTGACAGAGTTACAAAATGTAACGGCTCTAACTGAAAAGAAGCCCCTACGCCCTTCATGGATAAATCTTTTCTCCACCAATTTTAGGTGGTGGTCTCTAGTCATTGTTACGGAGTTTACAGTAAAAAGTTTAGTGCCAATGTTGCCACCACCACTGAACATTTTGTATAAAAAAAATCATGTCCCCTCTTAATCGCCTCACTTCCAGCGTCAACAAGTTTAAATTTAGCAACCTTGTTTCGTAGTCTTGATTCTCCAGCCCCTTAATTAGCTTGGTTGCTCTTCTCTGGACCTTCTTCAGCTCAAGTACATCTTTTCTGTGGACTGGTGACCAAAACTGGACTGCATACTCCAGATGAGATCGAACCAGCGATCTATAAAGTGGCAATATTATTGTTTTGTCTCTACAGTACATTCCCTTTTGAATACAAGACAGTACTCTGTTAGCTTTGTTTGCCGCAGCCTGGCATTGCAAGCTATTGTTCAATCTGCGGTCAATTATCACCCCCAAATCTTTTTCCATTTTACATCATCTGCATCTGCATACACAGAAACATGGCGATTGACACCCTCCACAATATTGTTAATAAACAGGTTAAATAGTATTGGGCCTGGCACAGAACCCTGGGGCACGCCACTCTCAGACCAATGTGAAAAACAGTAATTTATCAAAACTGTCTGGACACGTTCCTGTAGCCAGTTCTCTATCCATGTTCACACCATTTCATCTATGCCCATAGATCTCAGCTTGTGTATTAAGCGTTTATATGGTACCGTGTCAAATGCCTTTGCAAAATCCAGATATACAACATCCACCGGCCTCCCTCCATCCAGATCTCTATTCACTTATTCGTAGAATGTTAGTAGGTGGGTCTGACAAGAACGGTCCTTCCTAAATCCGTGCTGATTATCACTTATAATACCTTGGTCATGAACAAACTCCACTAAATAGTCAATGTCAGAACTGGTGGGCATTATAGAAACAGCCAGTAAGAAGTAATTTCTGCTGAAGGGGGGAATACCTCCCTTTGATGCCAAGTACACCATTACATCTATTGTTACATAAAATTATTTAAAAGGCAAATTTTTCCTGTTTCTTGTTCAAGCACATTACCTTTATCTATAGGCACTGCATTAATACAAAATCTAATGTTGGCCTTTTCATATATGTTGAAAAAGTCCACGATTTCCATGGGGTTTCACATGAATAGATTTACATAAGGACTTTTTTGTATTGGAATAATCATTTTGTGATTGTAAATTTGGTTATAATTTTATCTATGATTAAGGACGAGGTCCAGGTTCGCCACCAAGGATGAGGTGCAGGTTTGCCCTAAACTGCCCTAAAATCATTAGTCTGTATTGTTTTAGGAAAAAGGTCAATGTCCTTGAGTTACTTGAGGTAAAGTACTTGTACTTGGTCCTGCAAAAATGGTATCTGGACATCCCTAATATTGACAATTAATTTTATCTTTGATAGGGAAAGTATAGTGAGTGCTGCTAACAAACTGCAAAGGAAAGGAAGAGATTAGTGTAGGGCTTATAGGCACTGGCAGGTCCTTAAACATAGGTGTAAATCCTTACTGAAAGTTATGTAGGTAGCAAAATGCTAAGTATCTTAGACAATTGATGGGTGGGGGTTACCTTTTTTAATCCTTTGTTACACCTTAATGCTTTTCATGTCTGCAGCCTCTCCATATATATTACAACGATAACAGGCTTCATGTGTTCACAGGGAATGTTTCCTAGAGGGAGATACATGTACATGTACCCCATGGCTGTGTCCAGCTCCCATTCCTTTAATTTGACAATAGCTTGCTTACTAGCCTAGTTCAGAACTATTTATCATGATCTGCATCCACAGACTACAATGGGAATCTCCTTCAAGTTGAGATTAACCGAATTTTAAAACAAGGTTCGTCAAACTCTGGGCAAATTAAACCGGGACTAATTGGCTCATCTCTATCTATAATGTTATTAAACATGAGACTCCTTTTTTTAGTTATACTTATGATTAGTTTATATTATTAAACTGGTCTTATAAATATTTCAAAAGACATCCAATGCTATATTGGTTGTCGAACAGTGAATGTGCTACCTATTTTAAAGCAAACCTATTTAAAGTTATGGTTAATTTTTATTTTTGCAGGTTTTATTTGTCTCTCCCATGGTCATTTACTAGTATTGTTTTTTTGTATTGTTCATATGCTTTTTATACCATTTTTATTATAATTTATATACTTTTGCCATTGGAATATCTCAGCAGTAGATGTGGGGGTGGACCCTTCATTTTCTATTTAATGTAAGGTGCCTAACATTTATGAAACTTAAATCTGTCACACGTGGCAAGATCACAATGTTCTAGCACACAAAGCCAAGGGTATAAACGAGCTATACTCTTTAAATTCATGCTGCCATTGCTAAGTAACTGAC